TTTAAGTGACTTAACGTAAATAATGAAAATTAGCTCAGTAAGTTTAACTGCTTTCAAACTATGCATTATATGTAGGTGACCCGCATTCCTGAAAAATTTTCGGGACATCAAAATGCATACAACATCAACTACATACCAATCTAGGCTATAAATCAGTAAAAAAGTCACGATAATCATTTTTTAGGTGATAAGCGCACTGTACAATGACAATTTTGTAAAAAGTTAGCTTCGAGCCGTAGCCTTGAAAATAGAGGTTTCAGGCGGATATCGACTGAACTGCATTTAACTAGAGGTGATAATGGTCTCCAAATGATTTTTGAACTAGCATGAACGTGTCAACCTGCCCTCCTTCCCAGTTTCGTATAATTCTGGTCGGCTTATAGACGTGAGCGGTGAAGGCACCATATGTGATTACTTGCTGTGATATAATATGTCCCCACATTCACCTACTTGCTTCGGTTTCGTCCACGTTCTTTCTAACATGGCGCTGATGGAAGCGCGAACTCAGCAATGCTGGTGCAGTAGCTATGTTGTAAATACATAGGGGCCATCCTACGCACATTACAAAAGAAGAAAACAGTTCTTACAAGAACGACCTCAGACTATACCACAAAGCTAGTTTGGCCACAGCACTGAGATAAGGTAGATTTGTTGAGTACGAAGCAAGTTATGTGATTGGGCTAAACCTACAATTTCACTGTCATTTGCACAACTGCACAAAACCATAAATATCTTATTCGACTACTGAACTCTGCAGAAGTTGAATCAGTTGAAAGAAACTCTATCCTACTCATGTGCCGGCTTTTTGCAATCAAATCAGTAATTGGAACATCTCGATAACGTTCCCCATAGAAATGATTCAGCATCGGTAACAAAATTTATGGGGAGATAGTACAGCTTTTTGACTTCATAACTATGAAATTTAAGCTATGCGAATGCCAGTTGCGCCTTATTGGCAAGCTTGCAAATTCTCTTGGCTTTAGATTAATAGTCCTTGTTGTGAGCTGAGCTATTTGTGTTACAGATTAGCGTAAAAATCTGCGAATTTCTTAAGTTAAAAGACACAACTGTACCTACACAGCTGCAAAACATGCCAGAGAAACTTCACAGTCTCCAGGATTCAATCCAAAAATATTTAAAAGAGTTATTTTTACTAGAAATTCTAGATAAAACGCTAAAACTCACTGCATTGAATGGAGCTAGCGATCAGCAAAAAAGCGAACATAGCAATACATCTGCAGATTCAACTAGCTGGCATTCATATATCATAATACGTGGCGTTTAGCATGTTAGAAGATGATCGGTGTACATTGTTGTAATGATGGGGTTCATGGCTCGATCGGTTTCCGGCTACTTTTCCATACATTGATGAGCATGAAGCATAGCTATCAGCTATCAGCCTATCATACAATCAAGTACCCAGGATCCTCTCGATGGGGATAGAAGATGAGATGAAATTAGGCAATACGTCATCTCTCACGGTGCGAACAGTTTTCCAAAGAAGCTTCAAACCCCCATGATCCTCGACCATCCAAACCAGCAAATCATTTCTTGGGATCGTGAACTTTTCCTAAGACATTTAAACAGTTTCGGAACAAATTACCTTCAAGTAATCAAGTTGCTTCTTGAAAGTATGCTTGAAAGGATACACGAATGTCAACGATTCTACTACAAAAATTAACGGCGTTTTATTATATCGAAGAAAGAAGTGACCAGTTCGAGAAAGGTGCTCACAACACAAGAGATCGTAACAACAAAGTACTGCAACATAACGCACATAACAACATAAAAATGGAAAGATATTAGCATTCAAAGAATGTTAGCAAATTAAAAGAGGAGTGGCGAAGAACTCGTAAAGTTGAAAACGATAAATTACATGATAATACTTGACTCTAAACGTGATCCATCTACAAAGGTTCACCCTCTTCAGCGAGACGTTCGCCCTCGTCAATTATGAACGAATCTTCATTGCATCGGCCAACAATCTAAAAACAAGTAAGCCTCACAAAATTAAGTCAAAAATTAAATAACCTTAAATTTTGACAACTCCCTAAATTTGTTTCGAAATATCGCATTATTTTATCATTGGTTCTCACCAAGAATGAGATTAGCGCGACAAACATCCCCAAACAGAGCATGACGTTTTCGAAAGATTCTTGCTCAACGAGGTAAAGACGCAGATGGTCAATATTATACAAGGATTCCGTCCAAGTAGAGTAAGTGCTGTTGGAAAAGTCGTATCCTAGAAAAAAATTTGTGCCCTCAGCGGGAAACAGTAGGTAGAGCACTACCATTTATTCTAAATGCTGGTGAGCTGACTGTAGACGTGGACATCGAAGTGCGATAACAAAAATGAGCACCAGTTTTCGGATCGGCTTGCCATGAGTACACAAAAACCTACAATGAGAAATTCTTTAACTACTCCAGGCGATTGGGATACAGAAACTTACGTTTTGACCCTTCCCCAGATCGTCACAAGTTTTCTCATCCTTCACATTGCTGGTGTGAGCAGTTGATCCTGCTGCGTATATTGTCAACCATTCAACAAAGAAGCGAACGGGATTACGATAACCCGCTGACACGTATGTAGATTTTCCCGAATAAATGGCTGGAAAATGCAATTCCTGCTCAGCTCTGAAAGCGCCAAAAGTTACCTAGCGAAGGCTTGAATCGATGTTCATTCAATTTATT